TAATTCAGCCCTCGGCGAGCCCCTGGTCAGCCCCAGTGGTACTAGTAACGAAAAAGGATGGGTCAACCCGGTTCTGCGTCGATTACCGTAAACTAAATGCAGTCACGCTCGGCGATGCCTTCCCCATACCCCGCATCGACGACACCTTCGACAGCCTCGCCGGAGCGCGATATTTTTCCACCCTCGATCTCGCGTCCGGGTACTGGCAGGTGGAGATGGCGGAGGAGGATCGGCCGAAAACCGCATTCACCACCCCGATGGGGCTATTCGAGTTTCGAGTACTCCCGTTCGGACTCACCAATGCGCCTGCGACGTTCCAGCGGCTGATGGAGTTGGTGATGCGGGGCTTGCAATGGGAACAGTGCCTGATTTACTTGGACGATGTGATAGTGTTCAGTAGATCTTTGTCTGAGCATTGGTCCAGGCTTCGAGAGGTGTTCCAGCGACTGCGAGCGGCTCATCTCATGCTCAAGCCACGTAAGTGTTACATCGCACAACGCGAGGTGGGGTACCTCGGGTATCGCGTCAGCGAGGCAGGCGTGCACACCGATCCGGGGAAGGTACGCGCCGTAGTGGAGTGGCCACGGCCAAGGAATCTGACGGAGATCAGATCATTTTTGGGGCTCGCCACCTATTATCGTCGATTTGTAAAGGGATTCAGCGAGATTGCACGCCCTCTCACCCAACTCACCTCCCCTAAGCACCCCTACCAGTGGACGGGGGCCTGCCAGACGGCCTTCACCACTCTCAAAGATCACCTCACCCACGCCCCCACTCTCGCTTTCCCCGATTTTACCACCGATTTTATTTTGGACACCGACGCCTGCAGCAGCAGGCTGGGCGCGGTGTTGTCACAGGTACAGGATGGGACGGAACGAGTCATCGCGTACGCCAGCCGGACCTTGAGTGGGGCCGTGCTGAACTATTGCGTGACCCGCCAAGAGTTGTACGCCGTGATTTTCGCATGCAAACAGTTCCGGCCGTATTTGTACGGCAGGAGATGTCGCGTACGCACTGACCATTATGCTCTGCAGTTTCTTCTTACATTTAAGGAGCCGCGGGGGCAGATGGCCCGGTGGTTGGCGCAGTTGCAGGAGTACAACCTGCAAATCGAGTATCGGGCTGGCCGGACGCATGCAAACGCGGACGCCTTGTCGAGGCGACCCACGGTGTACGCCGAGACGAGAGCGGAGGAGGCCTGCCCGTGTTTCACGGGGGGATGCTGCCGGCAGGCAACGAACCCCCGAGAGGCCGCGGCCACTGACCCCCCCCCCCCAGCGAGAGAGAGTGCAGTGTGCGCCACAGAGACCCTCACAGGTGGCACTGAGGATCCCGTCGACCGCCCGGCAAGCGCGGGACCCGCGGCTCGGGACCCGATCGGACGGATCCAGGAGGACGTCGGCTGCGCCTTCCCGGGCCTAAACGACGAGCAGCTGAGACAGACCCAGCAGCGAGATCCGGATCTGGCGGCAGTGGAGGCGGCACTGCGGGAGGAAAAGAGCGCCCTACCAGGACCCTGGAGCGGTTTGTATGCCCGGTTGTGTGTGCAGAACGGAGTGGTACGGGAGTTAACCGAGGCCGGCCAGCCGGGGTGCATCTGTGTTCCTGCCCAGGTGCGACCCCAGCTGCTACGGCTGGTGCATGACCATCCACTAGGGGGCCACGATGGGGAACGACGTACTCGAGAGACCCTGCGTCGCCAGTATCTCTGGCCCAAATTGGCACAAGACATGGCGGCCTGGGTACAGGGCTGCCGCACCTGTCAGCAGTGCGGGCCGAAACCGGCACGATACCAGGCACCCCTAAGGCCGTTCCGCATCAGCCGCACGAATCAGCTGGTCGGGATCGACCTACAGGTGCCATTCCCGCGATCCCATCGAGGCAACCGATATATCCTAGTCGCAGTAGAGTATTTCACCCGCTACCCCGTGGCAGTGGCCATCCCTGATAAAACGGCCTTGGTGGTGGCCCGGGCATTTGTGGAACACTACGTACTTCAGCACGGGATCCCAGAACGAGTCCTCACCAACCAGGGTAGCGAGTTCGAGGCCGAGTTGTTCCAGGCACTGTGCCGAGAGTTCGGAATCCAGAAGGACCGAACCACAGCGTACCACCCCCAAGCGAACGGTATGGTAGAACGCATGAATCAGACCCTAGCGGGGAAACACAAACGTATGGCGGCCGCAAATCAACGGGATTGGGATGAACACCTTCCCTACGCCCTTTTCGCCTACGCCACCACCGTACACACGTCAACGGGACAAACCCCGTTTTTAATGATGTTCGGCCGTGAGTCTCGTTTACCCGCAGATCTGCTATTCGGCGTCCCTTCCCCCCAGCCGGAGGAGGGAAGCCGCCCCGTGGAACACCTGTTGGAGACCCTGCGAGAAGCCCGAGGCCGAGCATACCCGCAAGGGGAAGCCACGCATCGGCGGCAGGAACAGGGCACCCGACCCCGCATGGAACCCCCCTTATTCCTGACAGGCGCTAAGGTGTGGCTACACACCCCTCGCGTCGGGGCCGGGCAGGTGGGGAAACTGACGACCTACTGGCGGGGACCCTGGACTGTGGTGCGGCAGATATCCCCCTGGACGGTACTAATTTATGGCGGGGAGGGGTAGTCGAGAGACGGTGGTCAATGTCCGCCGCTTAAAATTATGGAAAGCGGCCCCGGCGAGAGAGAACCCCGTCACCCGAAGGCCCCGAAATCCCGGAGTACCCGCACCCCTCGTGTTGGGGGGCCTCGCACACTACATGGGCCCCGCCGGGCCCCCGAGACGCCCCGATCCAGTCCGGAGACGGCGCAGACGACGGCCGCTAAACCCTTCCGCTGCTAAGTTTGTGCCCCAGCCCACAGGTGCCAGAGGACGGGGAGAGCCGCTGGAGTGGAGGAGGAGACCGCCGCAGGAGCTACAGAGGACGGAACCACCCGCCCCGAGGCCAGCCACCAGGTCCGGACGGATCCCCCGGACCCCGCAACGTTTCCTCGTGGGTGCGGCCCAAGCGAGGTGCTCCAGTCAACCCGGGACGGGGACTGGCACCTCGGGGGGCTATGTGATGCCGCCGCCGCGAAGCCGTTCGGCAGGCGCCAAATCCCCGACCTCGCCACCACCAAGCAACGGAGCCGACCCCGCGTCCCCCTCACCTCATCTCACACGAACACACCCGCACGCATTTCCCCCCCCCCCCCCCATAGAGCTCCGAGGGGAGGTCACCTGGCCGACCGGTTTTTATCCGAGAAACCCTTATCGGGGTTAACTCTCACGGTTTCCGGCGATCAGGGAATTGGACGACCTCCCCCGTGCTACGTTGCGCCGCGGCGCTGCGACCAGCCTTAATATTGTGTGGTCGCGGCATGGGGCATTCGGCCACCGCGGTTGAGGCGCATTTCCCCCCACACACATTCCCACGGGTCGACGGGGCAAGCAGGGGAGGGACGGGACAGCATGAATAGCGGGACCGCAGGAGCTGTTGCGCATAGTCATGGAGGGTTGAGATAATTACGCTTGAGCGCGCAGGCCCCATTGTTAGGAAGGGTAAGGGAGTAATTAGGATGTACGCCGCCAACGCAGCTCACTGATTAGCAGATCAAAAGCGCCCGGAACCGCCGTGCGCGGGCTCGAGGTGCACGAGCCCATTGTTCAGCGCAGCATCCCCTTTGAGGTAGGGAGGATAAATAGAGGGGCGCAGAGGGGAAATCGCTCTCTTACTCCAGCGCCAGGGGACCAGACGCAGCTCCAGCCAGCGACCCGGACGTCCGTGCGACGCACCGAGGCACGCGGTTAGCACAAGGATCAGCGGACCGCCGTGGACACTTAACAGTGAGTAAGAAGGTGAATTAGAATCATAGCAGATAAATCGGGAATAGGTATAGAGGTATCAGCATAGGCCAGCCTCGTCGACTCACTGATTTAACATCTAGTTCCAGGTAGCGGATAATAAATCATTAATAGCTGATCGTGGCCTCGTGTGATCTCGTGTTATAAGTGTGAACGCGTGTGGCACGGTGTATGCGTAAGCTCTTGGCGTGCGTAATCGGCGTACCCCAGGTGCGCGATCATAACGTGAGCGGCCAGCGCGGCGCAGAGCGGCGCAAGAGTGGGTATCGCGTGTGGAGCTGTATGTGTGTGCGCGCACGTTCACGACGTGTATAATACAGGTGCGCGATCCTAACGTGAGTGGTCAGTGTTGAGTGAGTGCCGCGCAGAGCTGTGTGTGGGAGTGCGCATACGTTCGTTACGTGTCGGATACGGATGCGCATTGGTAACGTGCCGCACAGGGCTATACTGCGAGCACGGCGTTTGATTGATGATGTGCGCACGTATGCTCGCAGCGTAGGAGCGCGGCGCGAGGCTGTAACAGTAGGGGCGTCGCGTTCGAATGCCGGCGAAACCGTAGCGGGTAATAGGGAGGTGGGGTAACGTAAACGGAATAGGGGATGCAGGCGGGAGGGACCCCGGGGGCCAACGGCCCCCACACAGAGCTTTGTGACGCCGTGTGACGCCGTGTGACGCCGTGTGACGAAGGGGGGGGGGGGGTCAAAAATCGTCCAAAAACGCGTGACGTCATTTATGGACGGCCCCATAGCGGCCAGAGGAGAGAATGGACCCATGAACAAGCACAGTAGAAAGCAAATTTAGTAAAATTAGGAAGTATAATGCAACACAGAGAGCCGTCCGTCCTCTATGGGCAGGAATTCCACACAACTCCCCCTCTGCCTAACCCCCCCTAGGTCGACTCAGCCTCAAATGAGTACCGAGTGTAAACATCGCCACGAGGGAGACAAAGGCGGCCGGGCGCGATGTTACTCCCACCCACCCACCATGCGTCGTGCCGGCACTCAGAGGCGCGACTTCTCGCTCACAGCACTTTCCCCAACTGCCGCTTGTGCCCTCCTATGCGGCTGCGTCTTTATCTTTGGTGTTCACGTCACCCAGCCCAGCCCACGCCGCCCCGCCCCTCCCCCGCTACCCCTCCCCCACCACTACTGCCCTCCCCCCATGCCCCCCTCCCACCACTGCCCTGCCCCCCCAATGGCTCAGAGCGAGAGGGAGAGGACGCCACTCCGAACCCCGCGATGTTTCCTGGGCCACGTTGAAGTCCCTCGGGGTCCGCGGACCGACTCCTCTTGCACACGCGTGAGTTCGTGAGTTCGTGAGTAAGTGGGTGGGTGGGTGAGTGAGAGAGTTCGTGAGTTCGTGAGTGAGTGGGTGGGTGAGTGAGTGGGTGAGTGAGTGAGTTCGTGAGTGAGTGAGTGAGTTCGTGAGTGAGTGGGTGGGTGGGTGAGTGAGTGAGAGAGTTCGTGAGTGGGTGGGTGGGTGAGTGGGTGAGTGAGTTCGTGAGTGAGTGAGTTCGTGAGTGAGTTCGTGAGTGAGTTCGTGAGTGAGTGAGTTCGTGAGTGAGTGAGTTCGTGAGTGAGTGAGTTCGTGAGTGAGTGAGTTCGTGAGTGAGTGAGTTCGTGAGTGGGTGGGTGGGTGAGTGAGTTCGTGAGAGAGTGGGTGTGTGAGTGAGTGAGTGAATGGGTGTGTGAGTGAGTGGGTGTGTGAGTGAGTGTGTGAGAGAGTGAGTGTGTGAGAGAGTGAGTGAGTTAGTGAGTGAGTGAGTTCGTGAGAGAATGAGTGTGTGAGTGAGTGGGTGAGTGAGTGGGTGTGTGAGTGAGTGGGTGTGTGAGTGAGTGTTTGAGTGAGTGAGTGTTTGAGTGGGTGAGTGAGTGAGTGGGTAAGTTCGTGAGTGAGTGGGTGGGTGGGTGAGTTCGTGAGTGAGTGGGTGAGTTCGTGAGTGAGTGAGAGAGTGAGTGAATGGGTGTGTGAGTGAGTGGGTGTGTGAGTGAGTGTGTGAGTTAGTGAGTGTGTGAGAGAGTGAGTGAGTGAGCTAGTGAGTGAGTGTGTGAGTGAGTGGGTGAGTGAGGGGGTGTGTGAGTGAGTTAGTTAGAGAGTGGGTGAGTGAGTTCGTGAGTGGGTGAGTGAGTGTGTGAGTGAGTGGGTGAGTTCGTGAGTGAGTGAGTGTGTGTGCGGTACAGACTTAGTCTCATACGAGTACACGGTGCGGTGTGGGATGTTTGCACACAGCGTTGTAACACGGTGAGAGTTTTTTTCTTTCTCTGGAAGATTTTATCTGGTTTATCCCAGGATGTTTCTGTTGCGCGTCGTCGCTTTCAGATGTTCTCTGTTCGCCCCAATAGCCGCATGGCTCACGGGGTTATACCTAATACATGAAACTTGAAACTAAACATTAGCGCCGACTTGGGGAGACAAAGGCGGCCGGGCGTGGGGCTGGCCAAGCCACTGCTCGCTAACAGCACTTGCCCCAACAGTCTGTCACAGGCTACACGGGGGAACTTTGTCTTTCGTGTGTGTTACAGAATTAGTCTCATACGAGTACCCGGTGCGGTGTGTTACACATCGCCACTTGGGGAGACAAAGGCGGCCGGGCGTGGTGCTTGGCCGACACCCACCCACCCCTTCGTGTGCAGGGGTGTCCTTAATAGGTGCTCGCAAACAGCACTTGTCCTCCACACATCCTCGATATAATCCTGTCCTCGGATGCTCGTCGACATGGTGTCCAGATTGTGTGGTCGGTACTTGGTCATCAACAACAACAACAGTAGAACAAAAGTTGAAACGTTGAGCAAAGGAAGAATGGACGCATGCCCGCTCGCTTTGCGATTACCCTGAGATGCAAGATGGTGCGTCGTGGTGGCAAGATGTTAACTACCTCGCCTGGTGTACAGGAGGTCGTGGGTTTAATCCCGACCCTGACGCTTGCTGCTGTATATTTGGAGTTTGCGTGTCTCTCTCTCCGTGGTCGCGTGGATTTTTTCCCCGGTCCTCCGGTTTTTCCATCCACAATTAAGAATCAACATCACGCGTTTAGAGTATTTGTCTGCTATACATTGCCACGTAAGAAGACACTTCGTTGAGCTATCGTTTGTGATCAGGTTGCTTTTGAAAAAGAGCTACATACATAGCTCAGTGCTGCCTTACCTTGTGAAATAAAAAATAAAAATCGTTTAGTTTAGAGCAGTAGTCTTTAACCTTTACCGCAGCCTTGCACCCCTTGAGTTCTCACTCGTAAAAGAAATTACAGTGCTAATGAACACACAGAGGGTTTAATGACACGAAGTAGTTGTTACTTGCGTGGCCGTGCTTAGTTTGTCTTTTATTATTATTTACCTTCTAAAAAAAATCTGTCCATGTCTCGCAGCCCAGGTTAAGAACCACTGGTGTAGTGGAGAGTAGTGTATAGTAGTGTTTAGTGTATAGCGTAGTCACCGTAGTGCATAGTGTAGTGTATAACAGTGTAGTGTATAGTGTAGTGTAGTGTATAGTGTAGTGTATAGTAGTGTATAGTGTAGTGTATAGTAGTGTTTAGTGTAGTGTATAGTAGTGTTTAGTGTAGTGTAGTGTTTAGTGTAGTGTATTGTAGAGTATAATAGTGTGTATAGCGTAGTGTATAGTAGTGTATAGTAGTGTATAGTAGTGTATAGTGTAGTGTATAGTAGTGTATAGTAGTGTATAGTGTAGTATATAGTAGTGTATAGTGTAGTGTACAGCGTAGTATATAGTGTAGTGTATAGTAGTGTTTAGTGTATAGGTTAAGAACCACTGCTTTAGAGAATGCCATCGTTCAGGCCGTCGAGAAGAGTGAGTGGGGCTTGCTCACAAGGGATGGAATGAAGGCCGGTGGGTCCAGATCGGCGTTCTTCATTGCAAGGCCCACGGCCAAATGGCAGCCCCTGGTAGCCTTTAGTGCGGCCCTCTCCACAATACACACAGAGTGACAACACCGCCCATCATCATCATCATCTTCGCGCTGTCAAACCCCCAATGATTTTCAATTGTGCGGTGACCCCCCTCGCACTGATGATGTCTTATCGGCGAAAGTGCCTCAACCCCCCCCCCCCACTGAAAACACTGGTCAACAAAAAAATATATATGGCCTGGACTTTTGCAGCTGCTTTAGACTAATTTCAGGGAGCTGATTCCAAATCTGATCTCAGATTTGCTCTATCACATCTCATTTGTATGCTATCGGCGTACCCGATTTTCATTGATTTTACCCGAAATTAACTCTGTCACTTATGATTGCAAGTTGTTGCGAGTCAGTGACTGCTTTAGTGTTAAAATATGGTGCTATTTTTTTTGGATGGTGTGTTTATAATATCATTTTATGTAGATATCCACATTTATTTAATATTTTTCTTCTGCAGTTTTTATTGAAAATGCAATATTTGATATCTCAAAAACCTGATGTGATAGACACAAACTGATGCCAGATTTGGATTCAGCACCCCAAAATTACCTTAATACCGTTGGAATACCTTATGCCAGAAAAAGTGTGTTGACCAGTGAAATGAGTGAAGAACCGTGGGCTGGAACATTGCGTTTTGTGGCAAGGAATTTCGAGCCTCCTGGAGCGCGTGCCGCGGGGAGATGGAGCGATGGGATCGTTCCATCGCAGGATCGCGAGAGATGGCCTTCATCCAGCGGTGGATTGGCCATGGCTGGTGGTGATGACGAGTCACTATGTACGCATACAGTACGTGTGTACAGGTGTGTCTGTGGTAATTGTAATGAGATAGGGTGTGAGGGAAATCCCTATTACCTCTTTGCCTGTGCTAAGAAAAGCTGTCTCGGGTGTGGACCAATCAATTTCAAGGACAGTGCATACATTATCAGAGTTGTCATTTTGTTTGCATTTTGGCCGCAAGTGTTGTGGTTAATACAAACATGATCCCTTGTATAAAGGTGTCAGTTTTGTTGCCAGTTAAAAGGGTAAAAGGCTATTACTATACGTCTGATGTAAAAGTGTATCCTCTCTCCCGAATCTCCCCCCATTAACACAACTGACGTGCTTGCGTCCGTGGATGGAATTCCTTTCCAGCTCAGACCCCGCTTGCTTGCCCATCGCCACATATATAACAGCTCTTGTTGTTGTAACAGCTCTCTCGCTGGTTCGGCAGTTCCACTGCTGGATGAAACTTTCCTGCCTGAGGTCGACCGCTTGTGTTGCGATCGAAACGTCGTGATTTATTTTATTTTTCTACCTACGTGACTTTACCGAAAGAACCAAAGAGTATGGATTCCTGCAGTCACGAAAGCTTCAAATCTAGATTGAAAGTTTATCCTGATGAACAGTTTTTTTTTGGGGAAACTGGGATGTGAATAGTGGTCACATGACATTAGAAAATCACTTTGAATTCAAAGGTCAAGCGAGGTTGCAACTTGATTCTCCGCCAGAGATGTGACAACATGATTCCAGCTTCGGGGGGGGGGGGGTGCTTAATTCAGGATGTTGGACTTTTCAAATGGCCTTTAAAGATTTTTTTTGGGGTTAGATCACGTAAATGTATAAATGTGTCGTCAAAACCCGCCACCACCACCCGACACAGCCAACTAGTAAGGGCTGTCACGTAAACAGAACGTGGCCAATTCGTCACTAGCACAGCACCACCGGTGTGTTGGAGAGCCAAGCCACAAACATTAACGACACGTTGATATATTTTACGCGATCTAACCCAAAAAAACTCTATCATGGATGATATTTGGTCGCAAAAGCCTCCGTGTGAAACCGACCTTTAAAGAGTCGCGCAGAGGCCAATTTCTTTTGGAGCGCAAGACAGTGGCCGTAAGCAACATTGGAGAGCATCATTACAACACCACCGACTGTACTGCCACCATCAAGCGCGGTGATGCAATGATGCGGCCGAACAGCTGGAGTAGTATCAGCGCTTCGGAGGAAAAACGCTGCTTATCTTATCGTAGGAGATGTGTCAAGCGACTTGGGAAGTTCCCTGCAGAAGTGACGACGGTGTATTGGTCAGTGCTTTGTAGGCGACAGAGGAGATGTCTGTGTGTGTATGTGTGTGAACTTCTTTCGCACAGTAGGCGGCCAACCGGTGCTAATCGGGAAAGACAATAGAGTGAACACCAAATAAGTAATATTTAAAAATACTTTTTTTTAAACACGCTTTAATGAAATTTACCGTACTTGTAATGGCAAAACTCTACGACTCCAGAAAGTGGCCCCGAAGCTTGCCATAACGTAAGGCGCCCGTTGTCAATTACAGCCAAAGTCAGTTGAGCGTGGACAATTAGACCCAAGCCGAAACATAACATATAAAAACATGTTTAAAAAT